CGAAAACGTTATATTAGCACTCTTTTATACTGGGCACGGGCAGATAGGAGCCAGGGCCTTGGACTGCAGACATGCGGTTGTTTAAATCCGACTTGAAATGTACCGGCTGTCGTTCGGTTCTCAGTAAGCAGAGCTCCGTCAGTTGTTCCCGTTGTAGCCAGGTGCTTGTTCCTCCAGTTTGCATTGTGTTTGGGCTTGGTTCGTTTGCCCCCGTCTAAGCACGATATGTTAGCTGATAAGCAAATATATTCGTCGTTTGTGGAGAGGCCGCTGCTGTGTGGGTGTGAGCATTGTGGGATATTCCACCTTTTGCACTTTTTCCTGCGCCCACTGTGTGGCAAAGTCTTGCGCTCTTTTTAGCTCGCGGTACCCTGTGGCCAGAAAGTATGGATATAATAAGGAGCCAGGGAGGGGTGAATCCAATGAGCTCAGAACGTGAAGTATACAGCGCGCGAAACGAATCCATGTTCTCTCGAAGTTTTTCGGTTGTGGTATGTTCCAGGCTGTACGAAAGCATATTGCATGAGTACCGATGTATGGAGTTGCAGTACGATACGTCATGGAAGCGGAGTTCCCTATAACCATGCTTTTGTTCGGCATGCACTTGAACGAGACGTATCGTAGCGCTTCAATACACGTTTGCGCGACGGAGCATTTCTCCACAACCGATGGCAGTGAAATGGTGCCGCGATATATCTGGAATGCAATAGGTGAGGGGCAGGAGCACGGAATGAGCTACTCTTTTGTGTCAAGCATGTAGTAGTATTATCACCTATTTCGAGTGAATATGATGGTAGCGTTTTCTGCAGAGAGGCAAAACAGCGAGTGGCGGCCGGCAGCCAAGGCAGGGCTAAGACTAACTGGAGAGACACGCGTACTGGTTGTACTTAAGTGCGGACAACCGCACTCTTCTCTGCACAGCTGCGGGATAGCAGGAGGGGTATTCCAGGCCTATTTGGGACGCTTGTTATGGTGTCAGCGTCACGTGCTGGTATTACCAGGCAGTATGTCGTGCAAAGCTAACGCATCTCGTTGTCCTGGTACGCGAACGTTACTTTTCAGGCTGTCTGATGCTGCGCATGGGAGAACATGTAAGATGTTGTGGGGAGAGAATGTGTAAGGCTTCGTATTGTGTAGATGTGCACTTCTTGGGTATCCACATGTGGTGAGGTGTTTGGGCGCAGCGATATGCATTTGGGGTAGAGAGTTCACATTGGAGAGGTTGCCGGTTGAATTGTTGCTGTACGATGTGTGCATGGCAGTACGTTGCATCAGCGATTGGTGATTATGGGGAGTTTTGTGTCAAGCAGTTGGTGCAGTTAGCCCTTATGCAAAAGCAAACAAACTGCATATACCAGGCTTGCGTGGGATCCTCCTTCTGGTGTCAACGCCACATGCTGCTATTGCCAGGAGGTATGTCATGAGACGCAAGCGCATCTCGTATGCGGTGGTATGAGGAAGTTACTTTTCAGGCTATCCGATGCCAGGGATGAGTGTGTATGGGTGTGGACAGTGATGTACCATGTCGTGGTGTGAGAATGTGTATGGCGCCGTATTGTGTAGTTGTGCACTTCTTGGGTGTCCACGTGGGTGGAGTGTTTGGCCGCTGCGATATGCTTTAGGGATAGAGAGCGCCATATTGCAGACGTTGGCGGTTGAATTGTTGCTGTGCCATGTGCGCAGCGCAGTATGGTGCCTGAGGAATCAGACTTTATGCGGTGTTTTGTCTCAACCAGTTCGGGACATTAGCGCTTAGCCAAAGGTTAGCTCATTGCGTACTCCACATATGCATGCGATCCTTCTTCTGGTGTCAGCGCCACGTGCTGGTATTGCCAGGCGGTATGTCATGGCGCGCAAACGCATGTTGTATATGGTGGTATGAGGACGTTACTTTTCAGGCTGTCTGATACTGGGCGTGCGTGTGCGTGGTCGTGGGAGGTTGAATTGTTGCTCTGCCATGAGTGCATCGGAGTATGCTGCC